CTTTATTTAAATGGTTTATTCATGATTTTGCATTATCGATTTTTAAAGGAACTCCATCAGCTTCGATGAGTGTTTGAATGTATTATAATTTATTGGATTCGAACGGACTTATATTACGATCTTTATGAGTTCGCCTAATCAATCAAAAATCAAATTAATGCACTTTTTAATAGTTTCAATGTTTGTATCCATGCTCTATCTAAAGCACAACTGTCTCCTCCCATATTGTGTGTGACTGGATCAACTTCGGTGGGAGAGAGACACCCTGCAACTGTTATCGTATAAACAGTGGGAAAGGATATTATGTTTATATTTTTATTTTCTGTGTGCCTTATTTGCATTTACTTCGTTGTGAAGAATCAAAGGCAAAAGAGGCACACTAAATTGACGCTATACTCAGGCATAGAATAAAGGGAATAATCGCCAAATTTTGGTATGGGTTTTCGTATCGCCATCTGGCGTTATAAATTTAAGAAAACTTAGTTGAGTTATCGAAAGTAGATCGGCAATACTTAGAAATTTATTGGATCATCGAGTGATCCACTCATTTAAAACTACGTTTGTTAGGTCTGGCGTAGATAAGCAACAAATGCTAAACCTACCTGGCAATGATAAAATAGTTGGAGTAAAAATTTCAATAATTTGAATCAATTGCTTAACAAACTTAGTCATATTTGTTTACCATCTAAAAACACTGTCATCATTTGAATCATCGAGTAGGCATTATTATCGTAAAAATTCATGAACATCAATGCGTAATGTGTCCTAACAATGACACGAAAGTATATAGCCTTGTGAATCTTAAAACAGAGGCAGAGCGAATCAGTACAGTCTGCGTCTTTGCCGAAGCTGCACTGCGCGGGGTTATATAGTTTTTGCTTAAAGAAACGACAAGATACAGCTATAGCGCACGAAACGTGACCCGGCATTAAGTGACACTCGCTCTCTCTCTCTCCTACGCCCTTCGCCAACAGAATTTCATACCTGTAGATTGGTCCCCACGTTTCACCCCTTTCCCTTCGATAAAATATAGCACCGATGTAAATACTTTGCGTGAAAATTCAGCAAAGGCACGCACATCGTCTTCACAGCTATTGCTCATACCACGTAACAGTGTTTTACGCACAGCGGCCGAAGATCAGCACCGCGAGAGTCAAAACAGGCGATGCGCGCGGGATGCTTCTCGATCGTCGCGCGAAGAAAAGATCGCCCCGATACCTATGCAGCGAGAGAGATAATATATAAAAAAGACGAAGGAGAGAGGAAGAAGAAGAAAAAAAAATCGAGGTATATATAGTAGAAGAAGCGAACGAATTCCATCGTCAATTGAAATTCGACGCGCAGAAAAAGCATCTACGGCGACGAAATGCGATTTACGCGCGAGAGAGAATGCGAAGGTATGTCGTATAGTCGTACACCGTCGACGTTCGACTGTATACGGCGACGGCGACGGGGTCGAGAGCCAAGCGCAGCTTCTATTATGCACGATATATAGGAGATAGAGAGAGAGAGAGGAACGCATTGACAAAACGGGATTTTCCTTAACCTTACCGATATCATTGCATTTCTACCAATACGTTTTTCCAATTTTTGCAGCTCGTGCCGTATAACGCGTCGATATATAAGCTGCGATAGACGCTCTCGCGCGCGGCTGCCTAAAACTACTCTCGCATATTTTTTAATGCATTTTCCATCCTTATACTTTCGCGTTTACGTATACGTTTATGAAAAGGTGAAAATCTCGGAATACTTATGGGTATAGTCGCGTATACCGATTCGAAGAATGCGAGTGTATTATTTGCGATTCTATTGTACGCTTATACGTATTATACCACAGGACAAAATAGTTACAATTATTAACCTCTGCGCCCATGGCGTACACGCGAAATTGCCAAAGAGTGAGTCGAGCGCGCCATATGACACACACGGGCTTTATATACTATAACTATATGTAATACGAAGCGCGCGCGCGAGACGGCCGAGGCTCGATATATAATATACGAGATTCCGCTGCTCCGGTTGTAGTAGGAGCTCCTCTAGTACCCAGCGCGCGATTAATCCTATTTCATCAATTACCTGCCTATTCAGCGTCGTGTTATCTAAATTGATTGGACTGCCGGAATAATTGCAATTTTCCTGCGCCACTCGAGAGAAATTACAAATGTGTGCGTGTATCGATGCATACAAGTGCGTGGGTTACGGGTATATGCGTGCCGTATACAACGGTACGTAATACCCGCTGATCTCGATGTAGTATTTCGGGCGGGGCACCACTCTTGGAGAGCACCGTAGACACACGTACACACGATAATACACGTGTGTGTGTGCGTGGTACACGGTATACGTGTAGAATATAGAGAATTGCTTATATAATAATATATACAACGCGGCAGAAGCAACGAAGAGAGAGTCATCCAAGCGGGCTAACCCTTTGTCTCGAGCCTTTGACTGTAAATTTATACATCTGTGTACGTGTGTGTACAAACGTACTCGCCATATGATTATACACGCGCAAATAAGCTGCAACGAGAGCGAGAGGAGGAGATTCGGCCAAGACAAAGCACGAGAGGGTGCGTGCGGGTACTTTCCTCCTCGAGTCTCAACGACGACGAGCTATACTACTGCTCTAATCGCGATGATTCTCGTTTCGATAAATCTCGAATTATACTCCTCCATGCGTTCCCCTCCCCAATTGTTACTGCATAATTACGTTTGCAATAATGAATTATTAAAATATGTCCGTATAGTACAAAAGTTGTGCTCGCGCATTCTCGTTGTTTTGAAAGCTAACCATTGAATTTCTAAATATACACTTCTCTCTGCGCGAATTTATAAACTTTTCGTTATTCCGACCAAAACGCGCCAAAACTCCGCGGCTATGTACGTATATACAGCATTTATACATTCATCTCTGCGATTCATATTCATATATTATTAAAAACAATTCCACGTCCGGACGTCCAAACTTTCGCTTGTATTTCGAGGCTTTTGGCAAAACAGGCCCGCGAGTGTGTTGACCGCTGAAACGACATAACGGTATCATCGAGATTCAAATTTTAATCTCCGCGTCGAATCGATGCAACGTGTTGTTTTCGTTTTGTCGTATCCATTATACAGTCTATTGATTCTCTCTGTGTGATTTTTTTTTCAATGCTTATATTTGACTTGAACAAAAAAAAAAACTTACGCCCGGAACAAAAAAAAGAAGCTTGAAGGATTAAACGCGGTCAAATTTATTTCCTTTTTTTTAAAACACCGACGCGCTTGTAAAAATATCAACATACGTGACGAAAATGTAATCATGTGAGTTCTTTTAAATTGCGACCCGTTGGATTCAAATGTTTTTCACGCATGCTCTTGTGCTGATATTATTTTGAGAGGATAACATACAGTAAAGGTACATAACTTGGTACTTAAATACTTGTCGGTATTTTAATATTTTAATTCTGTACAAGCTGTGCGAACTTTTTAAAATTACAATTGGAAAAAAGCGTAAAAAATTATTAGTTTGTTTTTGCTAGATTAAAATATACATTTATGAGAAAAACGTATTCGAGGTTTTTTGAATTTAACGAATTCAATTTTTTATCATAAATTTATTCATCTGAAAAAATGCTTCATCAAATAACATCAGATATTGACAAAATAAAAGATATTCGCTTATGTTATGGCGAACTTTGCAGTGTAGACGTCAAGTAAATCTATATATATAAAGCGAAGTTGGTGTCTGTTTGTCCTTTATGATCTCAAAAACTATTTGTCCAATCGGCTTGAAATTTTTACCACGTATTCATTGTACCACTGCGCAGGTTTCTATCATATTAAAACCATTATTTGCTTATTTATTTTTGAGTTCAGAATTTTTTTCGTATTTTACCACTTTGCGTGCTCGCTCGCTCCCTGGTCAATTGTTATAAAAAAGACCGTAAGCAGTTGTTTTTACATGCGGTCAATCGGCATACATTGTATTTGATGTGTACATGTGTTATTACGCTATTCGAGTTCTACAAGTGTGTCGACTCGACTTATACATTTCCTACTACGTACTTGACGTGGCCTGTTTAAGATCTTTTAATCAGTCGAATTTATTGAAAAAATTGAACGTGGGCGAAGCCACGACGGGGTCGCTAGTATGTTATAAATCTTAATTTATCAGCTGGTCGATGATCATGTCATTGCAGAGATTCCAAAATGAATCAAGTGCTTACGAACCTGACGAAAGTCGATGCTAAATAATATCGAATTTCTAAGTTTATAGTTTTTCTCGCTAGATCGACAACGCGTCGTCTCGACATAGATTTCCATCAATCTACTGGATCGCGTATCTATTTCACACCTCGTAAGAAGTGTTCAATTCGATGTGTATTACATAATTTCTCTCGTTTTCTCTTTTTTAAAGCTTTGTTTTCCATTTCGATCGATGTAGTTAGATTCTAACATTCCGAGTCGGCGCATCCGCTCACAGAGTGAACTTTCATGCTTGCTGTTTAGATTTTTATTCTTCCCTTGCGACATTTCTATTTTAAGAATCTCTGGTTATTTTGTCGTAATGATTTCGAATTTTACTACAGTTGCTCGAAGATTAATTATGTTTTACGCCGTGCGTGACAATGACCGAGAAAATTATATTTTAATTAAACCGTACTGCTAAAAAGCGACTGCAGAAACCATCGCGATTAAGCATATATTGCACAAAATGAGCAGATCGAACATTATTTGAAATTTAATCATCGACAGCTCGCAGATGGAAAATGTAATTTCCTCTTTCAAAATATTCGCTCTCTCTCTCTCTCTCTCTCTCTCTCTCTCTCTCTCTCTCTCTCTCTCTCCGAATGATTAAAACGCTAATAAACACGATCTATAATAACGAAGTACGCATCCGCACACGCATATTGTGTGTGCGATATTGCAACACATATATATCGAATAAATGAAAAATGTTTAAAATCTCCGTCAACGATCGTTATTAACCTCTATGCCCGCTTTTATTTATGTTGCAGCCAGGTGCCTGGAGCCGGACTTTCTTAATCCCATGGAGAACGTAACGGTGACGAAGGGTCGCGACGCCGCGTTCACGTGCGTGGTGAACAATCTTGGTGGATACAGGGTGAGTCCCTCGTCCGCGAGCGGTGATCACAGTGTGGCCAATCCTCGGGTAACTATTTCCACCTCGGTGACACGAGTTACAAACCAAAAATCAAAATCAAAAGTAAAGTGTTAATGCGTGAGTCGAGCACACACACAAGCCTCTGCCTGCCCTATTTTCAAAAAAAATAAATAAATAAAAGTCGATCGAGATCTATATTGTCGCAAGCCGTATTTATCACGCACCGTATTGAACTGCCTCTTGTTATGATAATCAGCCTCTCGCACACCGTATTTTGTTACTGCAACTTGCAACTATATATACGGCGACAATGATCGATGAAATAATGTTGCACTCTCTATCTTGCCTCGCTCTATCTATCTCTATATATCTCACTCACTGTCTGTTCTCACTTTCGCTCACTATATACTAATAATAATAATAATAATAATAATAATGCCAGCAGCTATGTAATGATACAATTATATTTAACCTGTTTCTAATATACTACACCCACTATCTCTGTCTATCTGCCGTATTAGTTTATCTTGCACAGCTCTCAACTCCCATCATCGCTAATTATTACAAGCCTCTTGCAACAACTTTATCTCTCTCGCTCTCTATCTCTTTCTTTCCCTCTCTTTCTTTGTAATTCTCCGAGATTGATTATCAATTCCTCGCCCCCCGCCCCCCCGTATACAGCTTCTCTCTCATGCCTACTTTTCTCATGATAATAACGCTAATAATAATGCGCACGCAGTAATGATATCAATTATACATTGCCTCTCTCGTATACACTAGATATATCTGCGTAAGCACACGCGCGCAATATACTTCACGCGCGGCTCTCCTCCCTCCATATATAGCTATACGAGCGCATACCGCACGAGAGAGACCGACAGCATCGTGCGTATACGCGTGTGCCCGCGAGAGCTTTTGTGTATCCTCCACCAACACACAAACTGCGTGTGCTAGGCGTATTATCTTTCCATCTCACTTGCCATGCGTATTATTATTAATAATATATAATAATATATAATAATAATAATATATATAGACCTCGAGTAGGTAAACATTATATCCAGCAAAACCCGCCGCTATATACCTATATTGCGTATGTATTATCGCTGCAACTCTCGCTGCCTAATTATTGTTATCTGATAACCCTCCTCACTCTCTCTCGGAGCAGCTGCTGCTGCTGCTACTTGCCAGTTGATGCTGCGCGCGCGTTATCATCATCAAGCCTCGTGCGCGCATTATATAAATCAGAGCTGCAGCGCTGAAATGTCAGGCTTTTGCGAGCACCTACCATACTGCTACTGCACCCCGGCGTTGAGATTATGCCAATGCAATCCAAGCTGCTCTCTCACTCACTCTCTCTCTTTTACTCAATCTCTCCCGCTCTCATCCCTCGACTCGACTCGCGGTTTCGCTCGTGCCGCGCTTTGATCTTGCCTTTAATCTTGATTTCATTTCGTTTACCACGTAGGATTTATAGATGTATATAGTATTGCGCGTTTCGAATCTGTGTGTGTATATTATGTATATATGAAACAAAATGCACACCAACAGACGTCGGTCCACGTCGCCGTGCCGGTATCGTTTCTATATACGAAAGTAGATTAACACCGGGGCTATATACATGTGCCGGCTGCACAGAGAGAGATATCTGTATCGGTGCGCGCGGATCGATTTCGGGCGAAAACAGTTTTCATTGGAAAATTGAACACAGTTCAATTAAAATCTTTTGCGCGCACGACGGTGGCAGCGCGGGCGAGTTACAACAACTGCTCCAAACATCGGGGCTACGCGAATACTCGATTCGATGTACCTTATCCAAAATACTATACTAGTGTATCGAGTGCGATATTTTATGCATAATTTGCCGCTTTTTTTTTCGAGAAGAAATTCAATTATTTTTTCAACGCGATTGTCAAAATTATCGTGGCGCGCGATATGATTGTATCGTCTCGAGTACCGAGTAATTTCAAATGCAAATATCGCTTACGATCTATACACATCGATGATTAATTTACTTCGAGACACGCGGCTCAAATGTACGTGCGGTATTATAGTCGAAGATTATTCCGCATTAAGAGGGCGTAAGAGCTACTGTATTACATTGCCGATGCATCTTCGTAATAATGCATCCTCTCTCTCTCTCTCTTCCCCACCTCATGTCTTACCAAATTAACTTCCTCGCCTTTCTACGTATAACAAGCAGCGCACATACAGCCTTAGCAGCGAAAATTGTCACTCATCCTCTCTCTCTCTCTCTCTCTCTGTCTCAAGCTTCTCCGCTATATATAATGCACTCGCACACAATATGTATAATATCAATATTAATTTCACCTGCCTATGTACATGAATATCGATCTCGCTCGCACGCGGGCCTGAACAACCCGCACAGCAGACTCTGCGAGGCGTATATATATTACTGTGCGCGTGCCGCTGCACTTTTGAGTTTTGTATATATATCGTATAATGCGAGCGTGATGTTTTGTTGGAAACTTGCACCATGGAGTTTTACACAGTAGCAAAGTATATTTTGTATATATACACACCGAAGCACCTTTGTGTGTGTGTGTACATGAGTTATAATGCATGCTGGCACTTATGGCGCACCACCACCACCACCACCACTGCAACCCCTCTACGACGGCGCAACTTGTGCGTTGCGTTATACACACTCGTCGAATAGAGGCGTGCACTCTCGCAAAATTCGACAAAATATATATATGTATTTATAAAAGGCGATGATCCGACGATGATATATATTACGTGCGATCGCAGCTTTCGATTATGTATACGTTTAATCCACTTCGGCTCCGTCGCGGCTATACATAAGCGATGACGTTGTTTTGTATACATATAATCAGTCGACGAAGTAAAGAAACGAAAAAAGAAAACGAAAAGAAAACAAATAAATTGATTGCTTTCCAACGGCACGGGAAGTTCGGTCGAACGATGATGATGATTCGTTGCCATGGCGCACATTATTATGCTCTTGTTGTTGTTATTGTTTGTTGTTGTTGTTGCTGCCACACCGCTGCCGTACTGTCGTTGTTGTCGTTGTCGTTGTTGTTCCGACCGATTTTCCTCTCGCAAAATATTAAAGCTGCCAAACGAATTTCGAAACCCGCAGACTCACACGCAGGTATTGTATGATAAATAAATACGATATGAACGCACAAATATGTATTGGCCTAAAGTGATCAATGAATATTCGCATATTTTGATTTATAATAGAATATTATAATTATAAATGAATATTTTAATGATATATTATTAACGATTAATATTATCACATCGTATGAATAGTAAATATTTTATTATTTATTAAAAGTAGTTTCCGACGCAAATACAATTGAACTTGGGAAAATTTCACGTTTTAACGTTCGACCTCACACGTGATAATTTTTTTTCCCGTACGATTTTCAATGAAATTGCAAAAAAAAAAGGAAAGAACGAAAAGTACTCGTGGAACACGCGAAAGAGCTGATGCAGATGAAAAATTTGAAGCACGTGTGTGCGTGATCGGGGGGAGGTCGCGCGCAGCAGCAGACGCGCGCGCGCGCCTATCATTGAATACCAATTGGATATAGTACACAGTTGCGTACTACGGCTCTCGCGAGCGATCACTCGAAAGTACTACATGCATTGCCATATATGCTGCGCGGGGATCGGCGATCATGCGCCACTTATAAATTAAAGAGTGCGGTGTGTAAGCTGAAAATTTGACACTCGAGTCGAAAGTCGCGCTGAACGCTGCGCAATATGGTCGATGGCAAAAAAAAAAAATGATAATGATCGCGATAAATGAAACAATGATATCCCTGGTAGACATGCTCAACGTTAATAATGGCATACTGATTGAAAAATGATCGTTTAAAATGCTTCAAAATACATGACATTTAATTGGCTTATTTTTGCGATTTTTTGTTACAATAATTTAGAAATATTACGCGCGTTTTAAATAATATATGAAAATGACAATTAAATTGTTTCAAAAAAATCTAGACCAGTTTTCAACCACTTTGAATACGATAATATTATTGGTTTATGCTTCTACCACTAGATGTCGATTATCTTTGTGTGTAAATCTGCAAGCGGCAAAGTAAAATTAATTACATAAGTGAAAGCACAGTTTGGAATCGATGACAATTTTTCTCAGAAATAAACGAAAAACTTTAAGCATTTCTACCAGAATAGAAGCGCGAACTGAAACGAATAGAAAAAGTAAAGTACTCGAGCTCATAACGTTCGGATTGCATCATTATAAAGACGAAATATATACCCAATATAAAAAATATATATATACGAAGGATTGTCACCGCGTTGAGAAGTTGCATGCTGCATGGCTTTGTTTCATACCACCTGTTTTCCCCTGGCATAATACAAACCAAATATATTGTGTATTATGCAGGGTCAATTATTCCATTGACGAAATAATCAAACAAGCTTCGTAAGCAGTATCTTTATATGCACAGTATATATATAATAATAACAATATTTATATGAACTAGCTAAATGCATATATTATAATGATTGATATAAAATATACGATATATGTATGATTATGATATTTATAAATAATGTACAGAGTTGGAAGCGCGCGCGCGACGACGAAACGTCAACCCGCGAGAACAACGGTGCGCGTGAGTTTATATCGATATTGAATAAACAGCTGAACTCGTTGTGGTTGCGCGTATTGTGCTCTCTCTCTCTCTCTCTCTCTCTCTCTCTCTCTCTCTCTCCCTCTCTCTCGGCGCGGTGTGTTGTATAAGGTACGCACAGTCTACTGCACTTAACATACCACACTTCACCGCAGTAGTTGCGCGAGTGTACATGAACACGTATATACACGTTCGCGATAAACTTGAAAATATACATAATAAACAGCGCGTCAAACGACGGCTACAATATGAATCACTCGCGGATTTTCGGGGAAAAGCTCGGTCCGAGCGGGTTAAGTCCTCCGCGTATCCGCGCGAGCTCATGCTTTGCGCGCGTTATTATTGCTCGCGCTTCACCGCGAAATGAAACCCTGTGTGTGTGCAGTGCTGCTGCTGCTACACGCTCGCTCACAGGAATCGTTACGTAATAATGATAATGCGCACATGTACGTGTGTATACGCTTGTTAACCGGCCTGGGGGCACTTTTACGCGCGCGCGCGCGCTGCAACAGCGGATGACGACGACGACGAGGAGGAGAGAAAAATTACCCGACTGGAAAATATAAAAAGGGCTTGTAACGCATGTTGGCACTGCACGCGAGAGGAAAACGACACATTTTCATATGCGTATAATGTTCGTACGCGAGCTAAACAATTGTGTGTTACGTACGAACGACAGACAGTTAAATCTGCTAAATAAACCGACGAGTGTGCGTGTGAGCTTTTTTTTTTTTTATTATAAAAAATACACATGTATCTCGCTTGTCATTTCGAAGCAACAGATAGGCACGGAATATGCGCTCGAAGTTAAAATGATTACACCACACGATCCATACACGCAACTGCACCCTCTCTCCGGTCTCTGTCTTCGTTGTGTATACATCCGCGAAGCTCGTCGTTTGACTTTAATTAAAAGAAGAAAGCGAGAAAAAAAAGTAAAGTAAAAGACTCCAACGCCCGAGCCCATAGCTGCGCTAATTCAGAAAAAAAATGTTGGCGCAAGCTCGTGAAATTCTCGATATCGAAGAAGCTGGGCTGAAAATATAAAGCGCGCAGCGGGCAGCGCGCAGTTGACGCATGGGATCGCGAGAGCTTGCAAGAGGGGCAGGAGCTTGCGCGCGGCAGCTCTCGCACAACTCGTCGAGGCGAAACTTTTAATTAGCGAGTTTATCCATTTATCTGCGGACGAGAGGCGCTGCAGGCTGATGCCGCGTACTATATATATACATGTGGATGTATACAGCGCAGCTTTTCAAAAAAGTAACACACGGAGTCCGGCGCATTACTGTGATGTGTGCCGCGCTTCTCTGCATCCCCACACGCACACAGATACATACACATGATGAAAGCTATGCGTATGTGTATTATAAAACGATGTTGCCGGGCATAGCTCGTTTGTTGTACTTGCTTCACGCGCGTCTGTATGGGTGAAAATGGTGAACTGCCTCGGTGTCTCGAGCGTCGCCACCTGTTTATTTACATACATTTGCGTAGATTACACTCGGAGGAAGTGAGAAAAGCTCCTAAGAACCTTAGTAGGCGCGATAAAATTGGAATAAAAAAAAGGAAGAAGAAAAAAGCAGCCGGAGTTAGGATGAGACAAAAAGTGGCGCGTATTACCGCAGCGCATAACACGCGGCACACGTATCTGTATCTTACCGAAGGTAGATGAAAGCGGAACGAAGAAGAGGAGAAGCAGCGAACGAGGATATGGTGGCGCGCGCGAGCGAGGAGATCCCGACAATGTTTTTGAGCCAACGAAGGAAGGAAAAATGAAAAAAAAAAAAAAATTAGTATTACAGTGCGCCAGGCAGTCGAGCGCCGCCGAAATACTTTGCATTTGAAAGAGAGATGCTATACAGAGAGAAAGACAGAGCTCGCAGACGATGGAGAGATCCTGCGTGGTGTGTAGAATCACTCGATTCGTGCGCAATACATACGCACCGACGTGACCATATCGCTCTGTCTTTGTCTCTTTTTCTTCTCGCTCTTTTTATTCCATAGCCATATGAGCGCAATTATGTTTCCCTTTTGTTCGCTGCTTACACTGTTCTCTCCTTCGTACGTGTGCTAGACGATGTAGACGAGCTCACTTCACGCGTTATATTATTAGCTCGTCATTGCGTAGGCATTTTCCGCGCTAAAAAATCTTCTTGTACTCGGCTAAGCTTTCACTTTCCCTCGGATTTCTCTCGGATGCATGTGTCGGACACGCATGAAATCGAGTCGATATCTTTGATCTTACAAAGCGTAGTCGTGCTTTGTACTAACTTGAAATTCTACGTGTTTCGCATTTAAATAAATTACACAGTACAGTAGTTCAAATGTCGCCGCTATGTGGCGTCTTTCTTCGCGCATTATAATTAGAGTTGAAATTAATATAAATTGTTCGTTGAGTCAATTAAGAAATCATCTTCGTGTCCCATTTTAAAAATATTCAGCTATTTCAATTATCTCTTTTTTTGTGTAATTTTGTTTAATTAAACACTGAATGGAGTTCAAACTATCCTCGCAGCTCGTTCAGTATAAACAGAAATAGAATTTCATGAAACGGCTAAATTGTATAAAAATTTGCTATATAATAAATAGATATATCCCGTTGAGAGAATATATTACATATTTAGATGGAAAAAAGACGAGCGGCCAATATCGCCCGAGTGCGAAACTAGCTATGCTTATAAACTTCCCAATTCGTCGATGCAATATTCCCAAGCACGTATAACTTTTTCATACGCTCTCGCGCGTATGTGCGGCTGTGTGTGCATGCACACGCGCCGCTGCCGCCACCGCCGCGGCGAGAAAATTCGTATTATCGTAAAGCCTTATAGTATATATAAGAAAATGCTATATATGTACATGGACGATACGCGTTGAGGGAAGAAAAAACAGCGCACACATACACATGAAAACGAGGAGCTTTCGCTGTACGTCGTCATTGCTGCCGTCGTTGTGTGTGTGTGTGCGAAGCGATGCTTTTAGCCGCATATACGCGTGTGCACGCAAGTTGACAAGTGCCTTATATACATATAACGCGGCGCATTGTGTATACGCGAACGTATATTATATATTCTCGTCGGGGTTAGCAACTTTGCGAGCTGTTAAATGAACGCACATATAGATAAATATATATACATAATATAACACCCGAAGCGCGAAGATAACGTGATCGATACTAAATATTAGACGCAGCACCGCAGCTCGTGCGCTTTAACGCGTACACACGGCGTACAACCACTCGCTCTGCTCTCCGGCGCTTTTTATCTAGCTTATCTGCGCGTTGCGTTGCGCCCGTTCGATCGTGAGGCATTACCACTGCGTGTCGCCTCTGTTATACGTACGCGTGAGCGTGAAATACATTCGCGCGGGCGTAAAAAAAAAAAGTAACACAACAAACGAGGAGAAAGAGAGAGAGACACATCGATATACGTATACGCACCGCATTTATTCAATAGGGGGGTGGTGGTTGATTTGCATGCCTGGCAATTTTTCGCAATGGGTTTATGTATGATACGAAATCAACGCGCGGGCCAAACGCGTTACATCGTAAATTAAACCTTCTTTTTTCGTACGCAGTTTTTTCATTTTATTATTATTTTTTTCCATTGAAAATTGTTTTTTTTTTTTAATTTTTGGTTCTCGATAGAGACGCGTTTGTTACAGCTTTGCGATATCGGAGTAGGATTATTATTTTCCATTTTTGTTACGATGCATTTACTGGACTCGAAGCTAAAATTTTTGATTTCCGTATTTTGATGCGCATATAAAATTGAGAGAAAAAAAAAGAAATTGCACTGCTAAGCTATGATGAAAATTATACCTAAATGATAACGATAACGATGCTTAACATAAACGACTTGTTGCCACCCCGAACTCATTAATTAAAGTGCTGTTTTTTCGGGGGGTCGTTGTTGTTGTTGTTGGCCGTTGGCTGTTTGCGTGGGCGTTTGGGTGTAACGACGGGGCACATAGGTGGCCTGGATCAAAGCCGACACCAAAGCCATCCTGGCGATACACGAGCACGTGATCTCGAACAACGCCCGGCTCACCGTCAAGCACAGCGACTTCAACACGTGGACGCTCAACATCAAGAACGCCCAGCCCGAGGACCGGGGCACCTACATGTGCCAAGTCAATACCGATCCCATGAAGAGTCAGGTGAGTTCAGGATATGTCACGCAATAAACGTTTATCGTTCGCGTTTTGCGCTTACGCACGCATCAACTTACACTACAACTACGGATATACGCTTATATGTATTGTCCTGTACTCGTATATATAGAGCGCACATCTGGAAGTCGTCATCTCGCCGGATATTATTTACGAGGAAACTTCGAGCGACATAATGGTGCCGGAGGGCGGCTCGGCGAAACTTATCTGCAAGGCGCGCGGCTACCCCAAGCCGGAAATCATCTGGAGGCGCGAGGACGGCAGCGACATTACCACCCGCGCGAGCACCGGCAGCAAGAGCAAAGGTAAGCATTGTGTGACACATCGTATATGCGACTGTATTCTCGCGAACATACATCTTTTACTCCGTGTATAATGTATAATACGTATAATACGGACACCGCGAGCACTCGCAAGTATACACAGAGTGTCAATATTGTTTTAACATTCAAAGTGGACACGTACGTGGAAAATGAGAAGCAAAATAAAAAAGAAAGAAAGCAGCCGGAAAGTTGTTCGGAATTTTTCGCGGTCAAACTTTTACACGCGTCCCGCTTGCAAGGAAGCGCGCGGTTGTGGCACGGGCAGGCTCGGGCGAACAAAGTTACGAGGAAAAAAGGAGCCGCGCGCGTGCGGGTGTAAATAAAAAAGCAGCCACTGCACCTCGACGTCGATTTATAAATGAAGACACTGATAAACGCCCCCGGTACTGCATATACGAGCTTCTCTCTCGCGCTTCCCCCGCTTCGGTGAGCGCATGATATTTTGTACAAACTCGTTTAGAATCCGGAGACCCAGCCGCGCGCGCGTGCCTATACATAGTCATTGTTTTTCGCGAAGATAAATGCCGATCGCTCTTGGGCGCTTTGGCGCACGTATCATTGTACCTACGCGCGTATTTTTTCGTTGTCGCTATTCGCTCGCGCTCTTCCGCTTTTATTGCAAATTGAAGCGAGCGCGTGCAAATATTTTTTTCCCCGACGCGCTTCCGATTATGTAACGGCCCGCATATAGTACTTACTTATGATGTGTGCGTACGCGTGCATTAGTTGAGGGTTTGTTTTTCATTTTTATTCTGCTATACGCATACGCAACTGCTGTGTATTTATTTTCAATTGCGTCTCGCTAGCGTACTGCTGCGCATCAAATTTGCCGGAATTTATGTAAGGAAAAATTTTTCAGTGTATTGCTTACTGTTTATGGTATTATATGAGCAACTCTATAAAAAGTTCTTATAATTCAAGGCTAGAATCGCGATTGAAATGGACGTAATTTGTTCTTTATTCGCTAAAATCATTCCAAACTGCTTTCTGACTTTTACATTAACTTTAGGAATTCGAATACCCAAGGAAAAATTCTCTAGAGTTCAAAAAATGGCATTTAAATGATATATTTTTGAAGATTATTTAAGTACTGACGGCGATCAGCGACTAGAGCAAAGAAAACTTAAGATTACATTATAAAACACTTGCTATGAATTCGTGTGCTTTAATCATAAATTCATTGAGATAGAGAAAGATTTTATTATCCTGTTACTTTAGATAACTGATCTTAGGCCAGCTCTGTTTGCTCAGCTGGCCATATAAAATCTTCAATTGTGTATCACATCATAAAATTCAAGCGTTGGTCAGATTTTTTTTACGATGCACTTTCTAGTCAACATTTTCGTGCACATGGCTATACAGCGCATATTCATTATAATAGTCAAGTGCGTAGTACATGTCAAGTTATAAAATTAGTCTTTTGAACACTTACTTGAATTTTTTATTTATTTGTTAAGATATAATACGTAAGCGATGCCAAAAAAAAAGTCAGAGAAAAGTTTCAAATGGTTTCGTTTCACGTTGATTACATAATATGAGTTTTGATTTATGGAAAAACGCAATTCTCCGTCCTCGTAAAAGAAAAATTATCCGAAAAAATTTTTTCATAGAACTACTTAATAATGCCCCAAGCAATGAACATGTTTGTAATAGTTTCGATAAAAATGAGTTTTTAAAAGCAATATAAAGCTGCTGAGCATTTTATATTCTTTATGAAATTTGCGGAAAGTCACTCGTACTAAATGCAAACATACCTACGTGTGTTAAAATTCGACGCCGCAACATTTTAATAATTCCCACTTTTTCTTATTACTTTGTTTCATTCTCAAATATACATTTACATTTGTATAAACGTTGCAATATGCAATACAACGTAGAGCATATAGACGCGCGCGCGCAGGCGCCTCAAGAAGAGCTGCTGCGCATTATTGAAAAACGATTATTCACTTGTTGCTTATATATGTATATAATACGTTCTCTCGTTGTTGCCTTGCTGTGTTCGCAGTGTCGCAGGCCCAGGGCGAAATTCTAAGCTTCCCGAACGTCGGCCGGAACGAGATGGGAGCTTATTTGTGCATAGCGAGCAACGGAGTGCCTCCGTCGGTGAGCAAACGAATGATGCTGCAAGTTCATTGTGAGTAATTCATGTTTTCTTCCTCCTCCTCCTCCTCCTCGTCCTCCTCCTTCTCGCGAGCACACACACAGCTTTGCGCACCGACGCCTTGCCACACATATAAATGTAGCTTGGCAGGTGCGACGCGTGTGCGTATATATAATACATATAACAATATACGTATATATTTAAGCTCTCCCATATATAGTACATATAACAGTAAACGCACGTGCGCAGATCGATTTTTCTTCCTCGGCTCGGAGAGTGTAAAACGTACAGTGCTGATACGTTGTTCGCGCCGATGTTCAACAACGAGAAAGCCTGCCCCTCCGCCTCGTATACATAGAGATACATAGTCTCTTAACATGCACACACTGTACTACAGCGCAAAACGTGTGCACGAGCTTATATACCTTGGAAAACATCGGGTCGTTGTATATACGGAAGCTTATACAGTAGCGAGCGCATTTTCAGCTCTTTTCGGCTAAATGATACGAGTATATGATATGCAGCGCCGAGCCCGATCACTTCTCGACTCGTACCACTGCGTCAATTCATTATTCACGCCCGCGGAGATGTGTACACTGCTGCTGCTGCTACTGTTGCTACATACGCTGCAATTCCGCAGTCAACGATCAAAAGTCTCGCTATCTCTGGTAAATTTAATAACATCGAGTGCGAGCCGAGCCGAGCCGAGTCGAGTGAAAGCTCTCGAGAAGAAGGAAGAGAAAAAAGTAGAACGTATAATACGAAATGAGCCTGGTACATGAGAGCTGGTCTGGCGCATTATACGTGTATATAGCGGAGTAATGTATGACTAAAACCGCGAAAGGCGAGCTCACGCGCGCAAGAGGGAAGAAGATGAACGAGAGAAGATAGAAAGCGTTGCAGCACACGGGGCTGGCCGCCGCCGCCGCCGTTGCCTCGTGCGGTCAAAGCTAGCCGAGAGAGCTGGCGAATAGAACCAGGGAGAAAGTCGGACTGAGAGAGAGCGAGAGAGAGAGAGAGAGATAATAAAATTACACTCGCACTACGGCTACAGTTATATCGACTCGGGCCAAAAGGATGCGCGCGTAGAATGAATTAAGCTGCGGTTACCGGGGGGTAGGAGGACTATACCGGCCACTAGGCTTCCGTCCATCTATCTCACCACCTTCTCTCTTACTCTCTCGCTCTTGTACACACTCTGTAGGGTCCCTCGGCCTGACCTATAAGGTTTATATCGTCCGGAGAGTGAGAGGGTCTCGCTGTACTGTGCAGCTCGCTCGCATCTTAGATCTTTACTTTTGCGCTATATACACACACACACACGAGCTGATTCCCTTCCCGGAAATTGAATGCCCTTTGCCCTCCCGAGGCCTTTTACTCCGTATATACACCATGGCCAGCTCCCTAACAAGACCGATCTGCTGCTTCGGAAAGCGATAGATATTATATACTGCGCAACGGTGACTCCGAGTCTTATAACTCGATGGACACTCTCGACCCCCTTTGCGCAAGCTCGCACTGCATTAGCGCGCTCGAGCCGTGGCGTACTACGTTTGCCACTTTTATCGTGTCTATATGAGCATTTCCACGATTTACCCGTTAAATTTTTTAATAGAAATGGGTCTTATTTTGTTTTCATTGATGCTTGTAATCTACGTTGGTTCATTTTTTTGGTTTTCTTTTCTGTGTGAAAAATAAAGTTTTTCAAGCGAAGTAACTATATTAAATATAGTGTATTTGACTTTTGAGACTGTTTGACATGACAATTTGACCTCACTCTCCCCTTGACCTTTTGAAAACAGTAAACTAAAGACAAACCGAGTACCATTCGCATAAGAATTATACATTCAAATAGTATCATAAGTTAAAAATAACGATTTTATTTATCAGTTATCTTTTTTTTTATTTCATACATAACAAGAAGTCAACATTTTTTTCTTAGAATATTTTTGAAAAATTTAGAGTTGGAAATTACATATTATATAATATATTTAAAATTGGTTATTACATGAAAAATATGTACAAAGATGATGAAAAACTAGTAATGTAATTGTCCAGTAGTTGTATACTTATTTTAAAATTCTTATTTTTTACGCCGTTTCGCACCTGCCATATGCAAAAACGTTGTCCTCGTGAGTAAATCTAATTTGAAAAATCAAACTGCCTGAGTATGCTAAAATTTTATCGCATTTATCACTTACTAAATCTTCATAGTTCCTCGTCTGCGAAAATATTTTTTGGAAGATTGATGAAATTGGGTACTTGCGTGTACCATTCATTACACTCGTCCAATGGGTTGGGTGGTTGAGTTTCGTGCATTATTTTTTGGTCTGTATTCGATTTTGGCTCAGTTTTAGATTCAATTTGGCACTTTTTACGAGAGAAATCTTTGCAAACTTCGTAGTTGGTTTCTTGGTGTATATTTGACTTCGATGGAGTCTCAAATTCATTTTTGCACTTATTGCTTTCAAAATCTATGCGACCTTTATGAACTGATTTTTGGTGTCTTAATAAATTGCATTGAGCCCCAAATTTCTTTTGGCACTTGTCACATCCGTAATCTTTACAACCTCCATGTATTGTTTTTTGATGTGAGAGCAAATGTGATTTTTGTCCAAATTTTTTCTCGCACTGGTCGCAAGCAAAATCTTTACGACCTTCGTGGACTGTCTTTTGGTGTCTTCTCAAATTTCTTGTATCCCCGAATTTCTTATCACATTTGTCACATCCGTAATCTTTACAACCTCCATGTATTGTTTTTTGATGTATGAGCAAATGTGATTTTTGTCCAAATTTTATCTCGCACTGGTCGCAAGCAAAATCTTTACGACCTTCATGGACTGTTTTTTGGTGTCGGAGCAAATTGCCTCGTTCCCCGAATTTCTTTTCGCACTTGTCACATCCGTAATCTTTACAACCTTCATGTATTGTTTTTTGATGTAAGAGCAAATTTGATTTTCGTCCAAATTTCTTCTCACATTTGTCGCATGTGTAGTCTTTACGACCTTCATGGACTGTTTTTTGATGTTTTCTCAAATTGCTTCGATCCCCAAATTTCTTCTCGCACTTATCGCATTCAAAATATTCGCGATATTTGTGTACTTTTTTTTTATGTAAGAGCAAATGGGATTTTAGTCCAAATTTCTTCTGGCACTCGTCGCAAGCGAAATCTTTGTGACCTCTATGGACTTTATTTTGGTGTCTTAACAAATCTGTTTTTTGTCCAAATTTCTTCTCGCACTCGTCGCAAGCGAAATCTTTGTGACCTCTATGGACTGTATTTTGGTGCCTTAATAAATCTGTTTTTTGTCCAAATTTATTCTCACATTTATCGCATGTGTAGTCTTTACGACCTTCATGTACTGTTTTTTGGTGTCTTCTCAAAGAACTTTGAAGGCCAAATTTCTTTTCACACTTGTTACACGAGTGATCTTTCCGACCCTCATGCATTGTTCTCGCGTGCACGAACAAATGCGATTTTTTTCCAAATTTCTTCTGGCATTTGTCACATGGGTAATCATTGTGACTTTTGCGTACTTCCTTCTGATGGTCGAGCAAATTCTGTTTATATTCAAATTTCTTCTCACACTTGTCGCACTCGAAATCATTGCCATTGTTGTGAATTGTGTTTTGGTGCTTTATCATGGTTTGTTTTTCTGCAAATACCTTCAGACAAATATTACTAACGTGTGTTTCGTCCTCAGATTTCTTCTCATTTTTATCCATTTTTGTGCCTAAATTAAGCGATAAATCTTTCTATTTAGTACCAAGGAAATTGAATAAGTAAAATTTATCTTTTGATATTACTGATTGTTCCGTCATTCAAGACAACACTCTGAAAAATGTATACGGCCGAACAAATTAATAAGAGTTATGTTAGACCAGAGACGATGTCTAGATGGTTTATGATTATTGTTTACAATTAAGACTCGGATTATTCTATTTGAATTTTGTCAATTTATAATTTTATACCCCTGTGTATAAGCACATGAAAATAAATGTTCTGTTCTGTGCCCTTTATTGTGTGGCTGATAATTTTCCATATTATTTTAATTTTTTTTTATAATAAGCTTCCAATAAAAACAAAATTGGACCTGTTTCTAGTCAAAAATCTGACAAGTAAATTGTGGAAATGTTCATATACACCACACTTACGAGTTGTTTATAAAAATGAGAGCTCATTTTTTACTCACGAAATCAATGTCTAAATGAAGCTGATTTCGTAAATTAAATTTGTCAGACCTGGTAACCTTCGTCATGTAAAAAAAAAACACAAAGCAATTGCCGCATTCACGAGAATCGATCCATTTTATTTTTCTTTTTTTTCATTTTCTTTCATGTTTTTTTATTGATTCGATTCTATTCGATTCGAAGGACGAAGCCATGAAAAATATCACCGAGTAATAAAAAAAGCGGGTATTTATATGGAGCGTTAGAAATGAATGTCTGCGCTCTCTCGAGGACTCCTCTTCTCTATTTTTTTTATACGCGTGCGCACGCACAGTCAGCTGAGGCTAATTATTTTTCTTTACGCAGAATTGCGCCCATCAAAAAGCTCCCTTTCATCCAGCCCCCCCCCCTTCACCCCACGCGCTTGGCTTTCATTTTCCGCTGCAATTTAAAAGTCACTGCGGATGAATCGTCGCGCGCGCGCGTTTTACGCGGACGCAGATATGCGCCCCGGTGCCGTTGTAAACGAGAGCAGTTTCGAGCAAGTGTTTATATCAATTTTCTTTGTCTTTACGCCCCGCCCCGCGAACGATCAATCGTACACCGATGTGCGGAACTCTCGGGGCAGTTAAAACTTCATCGCTCCAGCTACTTTTGCCGTTATTTTTTTTCGTCTTTTTATATAAATAAATTCCGCAGACATACAGTGCACTATTTTTACAATCCACAATCTCACAAGTGTGCACTTATTGTTTTACTGCTATACTTTATCAAGGTAGTATATATACGATTTCTTCAACTATATAGTCTTATCTCGCTGCGCTTCGAGCGCTATACAGGGCCGTACTATTAACGATATATAGATACGTGTATATATCTCTGACCGTATATACGATATATAGTGCGCGTTTCGTAACTCGTTTTCTCAGCCGGTCGGACTTTAATTATTTTCCAATTCCCTTACGTTTCTTTAATTGTCTTTGGCGCTTATCTAAACGGAGTAGTTCGCCTTTCCTCTCCGTATACTGCCCAACGTGCCGGAGATATACATACCCATCCGAGAGCGAGTGTCTGCGAGTTCTCTTTTCTCTTTTAATCGAAAAATTGTACCCTCTACTGTATAAACGTATATGAGCAGTTCTATAGATAAAAAATCCTTGAAATTCGAGACTAAAATCACGATTGAAATTATTGTCGCTTGATGCATGTAATGGACGTTGATAATTGTTCATTGAGGTCCAAGAAACATGGGATAACACGAAAACAAAGGAAATATTGATAGGTATTTTAGCTATAGTTTTTTTTTTTTTTATATTTCGTAGGACGAAAATAGACTTTTTCCTGTCAAAATATCTATATATTACGTGTTTGAAAATCCCGAAATCATTCAAACTCTTCTCTGACTATTTTTATGGATTTGGGATATCTAGAGAAAAAATCATTATGGTTCAAAAAAATGAATTTGGTATGATTTATTGGTGGTTTGAATGTTCAATTACACTGAGATTAAACATAAAAAATGAGAGTTATGATAAGAAAATACTGGTGAGCAACGATGTGCTTTGCTCGCTACGTATATTTTGTAAAACTGTGTTTATGTGAAATTTCCACGTGTGTTTGTTCAATTTAAATTATTTTTATACTAAAAAAATGTTTTTCAACATTTATATAATTGTTCACAATCTGGTGCAATATTAAATTTTCTAAAGTAGTCTAGAAAATTCTAAAATAATTAATATGTATTTTTTGAACGATTTTATACACGTATTATTTTGTAACATCTTTTCGTTAAGTTATCGAGTAAGAAATAATTGGGTTTGCGCATAAATAGTTTAACATTCATTCGAAATTATCCATTTAATTGTAATTTTTTCGAACCGTTGTGGATTTTTTTAGGTATTCAATACTCTTACTAAAGCTCAAAAAAGTCGGAGAAAAAATAATTAGTCATATTTACGGAATAACACGATTTTTCGTCCTCTTGACAGCTATAGAAAAAATAGCAAACTTTTTTGTTTCCTTGTTTTTCCGCATTTTTAGCATTACAATAAACAAATTATCAAAGTCGATTTCTCGTTTTAAATTCGATCACGATTTTGACCTTGAATCTTGATAATTGTTTACACATGAATACATTTTACTTATTATTATGATTATATATGAAGATTCTCAGACATCTCTCAGAGGCGTCGATACGCGATCCTCTTTCTCAGCTCGCTTCGGAATTTACAAACGTACACGAACGGAGATCGAGACCCCCGCGCAAATGTTCATTCATTTCAATTTCTTCTCAAAGATTCTTTGCCCTCTAATCTCGAGCTTTATAATTCACAGTTCGTAGCCGAGCACGCAAGTTAGAGGCCTCTCTGACCATGATAGAAAGAGAGAGAGAGAGAGGCGAAAATCCCAGTTACTGCTCGCACAGGATAAAGCTGCTATGTATAACTGTTGACTCGCGTGTATACACATATATACGTACGTACAGTTGAGACTGTGTGTGTGCGCGCGTATACACATTTTCGAAGCACGCACAGAGAGTGGCGAGCACTACAGCCACGCGAAAGAGAGAGAGAAGTACCCGAGTGGCGCGAAGCGATAAGATAACGGGCGCGCGACCGACCGATCCCCTTCTTTCTCCGGCATTAAAGCCATGCGGTCGAAACGAGCCACCGCCGCCACTATTACCTCGGCTTATACACATTGTTATGTGTACATTATTATAAGCGCGAATGTAAGAAGTCCTCTGGAGCACTTGAAATTTTCTTTTCGTCGACTTTACGCGTACGGCGACGACCTGCGAAACCAGGGCTGGAAATGAAAATAAAAATGCTCGAATCTGTTTTCGCCATATCTTTATGTGTTATATACCCAATTGAATATGAAAACAACCGTCACCCAAGTTAAAGCCGAATTGAAAAATATTCGGTACGAGTTGCTCCAAGTTAAAACGGATTTGGAAATCGTCATTTTTACACTGGCTATATTATTGCCGGCTTGCGCTTTCTCTCTCTCTCTCTCTCACTCTCCCTCTCGACTTTTACTCGATTGTCCAACAGCCCAGTGCACCTCGTTTATTGCGGAATTTATAAAAAAAAAAAAAAAGATTGGATTATACCGTTCTATACGAGTATACGTACATGGAAGAGCGTGGAGAGACAAAAGAGCAGAGAATTAACGCGATTGCAGCCTAAAATTTTTTTTTCTCCTCCTTCGTTCTCTCAAAGGCCATGTAGCGCGCTTGCAAGCTCTCGAACTGGCGCAGGGGCCGTCGCTACTGCCACGTCGGGGGGTACTAAAAGTGTAGGACGTTAATTGCTGTGAGTACTACCGACGCGAAACTGTCAATTTTACCCAGAATGTGTACATTGTGCAGCAGCTATGCAGCTCTACAGATACACACACATACGTGAACACACTCAGAGAGCCCCCCGAAGGTTTGCGAATAAAAAAAAAGCGCCTCGCAAGAGCTTCATCAGATGTCGAAATGCTTTCCACTCTGCACATACTTTATATATACGTGTCGTGATACACTTATAAGAAAAGATACTTTCCTTCGCTCTGTGTGCGCCCGTGTACGTATACGTATAGGTATGTCATATATACACACACAAGCTGTGCGGGCTATACGGCTTGTATCATTCTCTGATGGATATGTGCGGCTTTACGACAACAGGGGGGCTTTAAAAGTGCAGCAGCCACTTCGCCGAGGAACAGGGTTATGGCCTTTAAGACCCAGATGTAACGAGCTTCCTTCTTCTTCTTTGCCTTACTTAATTTTTTTTTTTCATCCAAGCCCGAGTAAGCGAGTGCATTAAAAAATAATCGATAATTCATGATGCAAAAATTAACAAACATACGCTTAAATAAGTCACAAAAATCGAGAGTCCACTTTGAAAAGTTCTTTACCATAATTCACTTTCAGTAATTTTACAGTTGACTTGAAATTCATTCGAAGCTGAGGTAAAGGTTTTTGTGAGAAAAATAAGTGGTTTTGAAAGATTATTTCACAGGTCGAGACAGTATATTTTAATTTTTTTCATACGAAATAATGTTAAACATGGATATTTTTAATTAAAATTCAGTAACCAATCGCCAACAAGTTTTTTCTTTAAAAAAAGTCCTTCAATGTCGTTTTTCGTCATTGATTGACTATTTTTCAAATAAGTTTTTCAAACTAATTTGTTGAGACTGATTTTGAACTAATGAAAAATATGATAACTGTCACATAACAACTTTGAAATTATACAAATAAGACAATACTTGATAATACTCAAAATATCAAACAATTTAAAATCAAACAGTTTCAACGTTTTTTTAGTTACAACCACGGTTGTAAAAAATTATTCAATTTGCAATCGTCGCCGCTTCCGCGTCAGAACCCTCCTGACCTGTCGTGTTGGTGGACTTGTGGGCATTGTACGATAACCATTAAAAACTTCTCCAAACAATTTCGGGATAAATCTATATCAAAAAGAAATAATACAAAACATTAGATCGATAAGCAAGCATTGGCATTGAGGTAAAGATCATTTTTACGCATACGTACTGGAGAACCTTCTTGATAGCATGGTCCGCAAAAACAACATCGAAACTCTGATCCTTAATGTACTGAGCATATTTTTGATGAACTTTCATTAGAGCTTTGCGCAACTCATAATGCGGCCTCGGAATGTAGTTCGGCTCGCCCGGATATTCGGTAAGTTTGTGATAACAACAGCTCAATTTCATTTCGTACTTCACACCGAATAGAGAATCGCCCATTAGCATTGCAAAATTGCTATCCACCTCTTGTGTCACTTTGTTATCGTCTTGTTCTTTATCGACTTGCCTGATCATACGAAACGTATTCACGTTATAACTTCTTTTTGGTATCGAAAATTCGCTCGTTTCTGCCTTCAACAATCTATGAAGCTCCAGCGCGACGTAGCCCTCCACCTTCTTCCATTCTGCGGGTAATTTGTGGCGCAGATGCACACCTATCAGCGGCGCGATTCTTCTGTCGAATTCTTGCAGCAACGACACGGGTATCGGTGGCTCCACGTAAACGGAACCTATCAGATGAAACGACTCCGCGTATTTCGGTTTGTACATTTTTCCTTACGTCGAGTAAAAATTTTCTATCGTTAAAATTTATAAAAAATTATTGAGCCGAGATCAATAGTGCGTAAAACCGAGATACGTTGATCTGTACGATTGAGTTGAGACTGACGACCCGTTGAATTCAAAATAAAATACGATCAGCACGGATACTTATAACGCCGATTGTTATTGACATCTATTTAATACATATATTACGCTCGTGTCGTCTGATTTGAAAGTAACGTAAACATTGTATTTGTTACAATTTTCATGAAATGATGGTTCAGCACCTGAACGATCTCAATCACGAAATCTTAATTCCTAAATATTATTTCTAATTATCATCTAATTACCAATGATACTGGTTTACGAGAGGAAATAGTTGCCAATCTATAGATATGATTTCTCTTCGACTTCTTCATGGTTGTCAATCAAATTTTGATACAGCAAATTTGATCTTTTATTGTAATAATACACTTTAATTACTCTAATGTTCTAATATTAATTCAATTAAAGGCAGAGAATGACTTGCTAGGAATGGAAAACATGGAATGTATCATTTGGATATTATAAACCTGTCAATTGGCTATGTATTTTAATCATTTTAAACGTGACAATTATAATAAAGTTATGAATTAACACGATCGGCACAGAGCTTAGCCAGTCGAGCGGTTTTAAATTTCCTCAGACTTTTTTGTTCTCAATATTAATTGAAGGTCAGTGAATGATTGGCATATTATTTGAATAATAGATGAAAATTCTCAATATTTATAATGTTTTTGACAAATTTTCTGATATAATTATATTGTAATTATTGGGCTTATTTTTAATGATCTAAAATGAACAACTTCACTATTTCAAAAAGTTAAGATCAATTTCAAACTACTTTAAATACGATATTACCACTTCAAACCTTTATCACTAGATGGCGACTTATCGTTACCTGTAAAACTGCAAGTGTCAAAGCAAAAATAATTGTATTTATATAAGTAAAAGCAAGAATACCCAGCAATAGCTATTTCTGCTTTTTCTATTTAATAATCGAATAATTTTTAATAATCGAGTTTCTTTTTGTGTAAACGTTGGCACAACGAAGGTGACATTATGTGAGAACTCGTCTAAAAATAGTGATTCTTTGTTCATTTCAAAAATTGATTTGACTTCTTATCCGTTTTTTCTTGCATTAAAAGCTGCTCATTATTCGCATAGATCACAGGTGCTTAAATATTATAGCTTAGATGCCACGATTAGTTTGAGTTCTACTTATCTAAGGCAAAAGTTTCTCGGTGATCCCATGAAAATATAATAAAATCGAAACATTGTGTACAAAGTACATTGTAAAAAGATCATGCTTTCTTTGAATGTAGTTGTTAGTACGCATCATTATAGTTGGGAATTTATTCAAATTGTAGTTATCATATTCAAATGACACTTGATTGTACGTATAATACATTACATTACGCTTGACATAATTTGTAATTTGTAATAAATTAAACTACCCGCGCGCGTATGTGTGGTCTTTCCCAAACACTATTTCGTGCATGCTTCGTTAAATATGATATCTTCGTCATGGCTATTATTAACTATTATTGTTTATTATCAATCATTTACTACGCATATTCGGATTAATCTATCTTCGCGCAAATCCCTCATGTAATATGCATCATCATATTTATATATATTTATATTTCAATTGCAAAGTACGCACCCGCGTATAGGGTGTACGTAATATTACTCGTAAGTTGTATTTATTCAAAAGCTCGACATAAGCAGCTATGGCCATGTACGCAGCTGCCTGCGAATACGTTGAAAAAGTGCAAGCACGCATCTGCATGCGAGAGCGCGAAATTACAAGTGTATTTTATCTACAAGTGTTAATGAATATAATAATCGAGGGGGCTTGACAATTTTAGCTGACGCCGCTCTAAACGTAACCCAGTGACCCGAAAAAAAAACTCGATTCGTGCGAAATGAGATAGTAAAGTATGATAATTACAAGCATACACACACTATACAACTTAATAAAGGCTTGTAATAAAATTCCGTACGAGCTGATAAAAATAATTAGCAATATTTATTTTCAGTCATAATTGTTTACTTTTTTTCCAAGTAAATATTTCAATCGAAAATTAATATAATTTCAAAAGTTGAATTAACGTATAAACAATCAACGATGCGTGACATTATTATTGCGTTTCACTTTGTAACGAGTCGTTTATTTGAAATTGTATAATTTTTGAAATCACTACATAGATAGCTATAATTTTGGCTTTATTATTTGCACTGCGTGCCTACGAGACCGATTCGTCAATGCAGCTTGCAAGCAAGTGCGTCAGCTTGTTTTCACACTCTGACCCTATATTGCTCATCGATTGAGCCTCTCGCAATTAAATCGTCCAAAACGAAAATTGAACTCGTTAATTTCGAAGCAATACTCGTTCAAGATATTTCGTGTTCCACACTTTCTCTCCCTCTTCTTCCCTAATATACGTTTCGCTACTCTACGCAACGTAGATATATATTGGCACGGGTTACGTTCGCTTCCGCGCGTTTTATATTACACACTACACGCACTTTTGAGTGCGAAATTCGTTGAATCGACTTGTATACAGATATAACGTGAACTTTTTGCTCGCATTTTGAGGGCGCAGTTCTCTCGCTTGCAACAATACCCACGATGAGGAAATAAATGAGGAAATAAATACCAAAATGTTTTTGGAAAAAATTTGTTCAAATCAATTGGTCACATTGAATATAAAATTGGGTAGGGCAAATGTGGGTATTACTGCGGGTGCACCTATTACTGCGGGAGAAAAATAAACTAATATTATGATTTTCTAAATGTATATGACTGTAACTTAACTAATGACGAAGATTACCAGGTCTGACAAATTTAATTTACGAAATGAGCTTCATATAGACATTGATTTCGTGAGTAAAAAATGAGCTCTCATTTTTATAAACAACTCGTAAGTGTGGTGTATATGAACATTTCCACAATTTACTTGTTAGATTTTTTACTAGAAACAGGTCCAATTTTTTTTTATTAGACGCTTATTATAAAGAAAATTAAAATAATATGAAAAATTTTGAGTCCCACAATAAAGGGCACTGAACAGAACATTTATTTTCATGTGCTACACGGGTCTATAAAATTATAAATTGACAAAATTCAAATAGATAAATCCGAGTCTTAATTGTAAACAATAGTCATAAACCATCTTGACATCGTCTCTGATCTGATATAATTGAAAAATTTATACGGCCGAACAAATTAATAATAGTGTTGTCTTGATTGACGGAAAATCAGTAACATCAAAAGATAAAGTTTACTTATTCAAATTACGTGGTACTAAATAGAAAGATTTATCGCTTAGTTTAGGCACAAAAATGGATAAAAATGAGAAGAAATCTGAAGACGAAACACACGTTTGTAATGTTTGTCTGAAGGTATTTGCAGAAAAACAAACCATGATAAAGCACCAAAACACAATTCACAACAATGGCAATGATTTCGCGTGCGACAAGTGTGAGAAGAAATTTGAATATAAACAGAATTTGCTCGACCATCAGAAGAAAGTACACAAAAGTCACAATGATTACCCATGTAACAAGTGTGAAAAGAAATTTGGCCTTCAAAGTTCTTTGAGAAGACACCAAAAAACAGTACATGAAGGTCGTAAAGACTACACATGCGATAAATGTGAGAATAAATTTGGATACAAATCTCATTTGTATGAGCACACAAGAACTGTTCATGAGGATCACAAAGATTACGCATGCAACATATGCGAGAAAAATTTTAGACGAAAAGCGGAATTGCTAAAACATCAAAGTATAGTCCACGAGGGTCGCAAAGATTATGCATGCGACAAGTGCGAGAAGAAATTTGGCGAACGAAGAAATTTTTCTAGGCACCAGAGAACAGTCCACGAAGGTAAAAAAAATTACATATGCGACATGTGCGAGAAAAATTTTGGACAAAAACCATATTTGTTAAGGCACCAAAATAGAGTCCATGGTCGCAAAGATTACGCATGCGACATGTGCGAAAAGAAATTTGGACAAAAATCCCATTTGCTCTTACATCAAAAAACAGTCCATGAAGGTCGTAAAGACTACACATGCAACAAATGTGAGAAGAAATTTGGACATAAATTTACTTTGATCAGACACCAAAAAGCAGCCCATGAAGGTCGTAAAGATTTTGCTTGCGACCAGTGCGAGAAAAAATTTGGACAAAAATCAAATTTGCTCTTACATCAAAAAACAATACATGGAGGTTGTAAAGATTACGGATGTGACAAGTGCCAAAAGAAATTTGGGGCTCAATGCAATTTATTAAGACACCAAAAGACAGTCCATGAAGGTCGGAAAGATTACGCCTGTGACAGGTGCGAGATGAAATTTGTATATAAGTCGAAATTGTTAAGACATCAAAAATTAATCCATGAAGGTCGTAAAGATTTTGCTTGCGACCAGTGTGAAAATAAATTTACTCAAAAACGAGATTTGCTCTTACATCAAAAAACAATACATGAAGGTTGTAAAGATTACGGATGTGACAAATGTGATAAGAAATTCGGGGATAAAAGAAATTTGGGAAGACACCAAAAGACAGTCCACGAAGGTCGTAAAGATTTTGCTTGCGACCAGTGCGAGAAAAAATTTGGACAAAAATCACATTTGCTCTCACATCAAAAAACAATACATGGAGGTTGTAAAGATTACGGATTTGACAAGTGCCAAAAGAAATTTGGGGCTCAATGCAATTTATTAAGACACCAAAAATCAGTTCATAAAGGTCGCATAGATTTTGTACCCAATAAGTGCAAAAATGAATTTGAGACTCCATCGAAGTCAAATATACACCAAGAAACCAACTACGAAGATTGCAAAGATTTCTCTCGTGAAAAGTGCCAAATTGAATCTAAAACTGAGCCAAAATTGAATACAGACCAAAAAATAATGCACGAAACTCAACCAACCAACCCATTGGACGAGTGTAATGAATGGTACACGCAAGTACCCAATTTCATCAATCTTCCAAAAAATATTTTCGCAGACGAGGAACTATGAAGATTTAGTAAGTGATAAATGCGATAAAATGTTAGCATACTCAGGCAGTTTGATTTTTCAAATTAGATTTACTCT